GAGTGCCCCGAGAGGACGCCAAAAAGGCAAGCATTGACACATTCCACTGGGAAAACTTACGTTTTCAGCATATCCGCCTTTTGCGTTGTTGCACGGTCCAGGACAGACCAAGAGGCCTCCCAAAACCTCCCAAGACGACCCAAGCGGCCCCCAAGAGGGCCCCAAGACGGTCCAAGAGGGCCCCCCAAACGGCCCAAGGGGGCCTCCAAACGGCGTGAGAGGGCCCCAAGACGGCTCCAAGAGGGCTCAAGAGGGCCCGAAGAGGCTCCCAAGAGGCCCCCAGGAAGCCTTCCAGAGAGCCGCAGGACGGTCTAAGGCCTCCAGGACGCCCCAAAGAGGTCCAAGATGCAAACAGAAAGTACGAGAGGCCCCAAAGACGCTCCGAGAGGGCCCCGAGAGGACGCCAAAGAGGCATCATGGTCACATTCAGATGGGACAACTCACATTTTCAGCATATCCGCCTTTTGCTTTGTTGCACGGACCAGGACAGGCCAAGAGGTCACAAAAAACCATCCAAAACGACCCAAGCGGCCCCCAAGAGGGCCCCAAGACGGTCCAAGAGGGCCCAAAGACGGCCCGAGGGGGCCTCCAAACGGCTTGAGAGGGCCCCAAGACGGCTCCAAGAGGGTTCCAAGAGGGCCGGACGAGGCTCCCAAGAGGCCCCCAGGAAGCCCTCCAGATGGCCCCAAGACGGTCCAAGGCCTCCAAGACGCCCCGTGACGTCCCAAACGGGCCCCAAGACGTCCCAAAACGGCCACAGAACGGCCCAACAGAGCCCCTGAAGGGCCCCAAAGCGTCCCCCACAAGGACCACTGAGAAGGCGCACAGACGCCAACAAAAAGAGCGATCGGTACGGTAACATGTTTTTCAACCCAAGGCTCCCGAGAACGAACGGTGACACAGTAAGCTCTTCAACCCGAGGCTCCCGAGAGCGAGCCGCAACATCAAAAACTCTGAAACTGGAGCCCGAAGCTATCGTCATCCCATCAATTCTGGGACAAGTGCGTGGGCCAACCGCTTTCTCGGCCTCCAGCGGCGTCGGCACTGCCTCTGGGTCCCCTGTGGCCTCTGGGTCCCCAAGACGTCACAGAGACAGCCTTCGGTAATGTCCGAGATGGCCAAAATTGGCCCCGACAGCCGCCAGACAGGGCCCCCAAGAGATCTCAAGCGGTCCCAAGAGGCCACCAGAAGGCGCCTAGACGCCCCAAGAGGCTTTGCAGTGTCCAGAATTCCACGGCAACTGCAAAGCTTTCCAACACCCAAAGGAAGATGTGTGTCTTCTGCTTCGCAGGCTTTTCGACGCGAGACAGCTCCAAGACGGCTTCGGGGGAGACTCTTGGGCTCTTTGCGGGCCACCTTGGGCCCTCTGGGGCTGGGTTGTTTTCGGGCTTCCCTGGGCTGTCTCGGTCCGTCTTCGGGCCGTCTTGGGGCCCTCTGGGCGGTCTTTGACTGCCTCAAGAGAGCCCAAGGGCGGCCCCAGAGGGCTCCCAGAATATTACAGAAGGCTTCGCGCCCTCCAGAGAGCGCCACGACGGCCCAACAGACCCCCAGAGAACCCCGCGACGGCCCAGGACGGCCCAAAGAGGGCCCAACGAGGCCCCCAATAGTTTCGGCCATAGTGCCCCCCAGCACGGCCTCCATATCCGGCAGCACACAAGCCAGCAGCGGCAGCAATCAGGAGCTAGCAGCAGAAAACAAGCAGCCGCTGCATTGCCTGCGGCCGGCGGCCATCCCCGCTGCCGTGGCGTGCGGCAGAGGGCCAGTTGCGACCGCCAGGCCTGCCAGCATGCTGGCAGTGACGTCGGGAAGACTGTCTGGCTACCAGCTACGCGCGCAAAACAGCAGGCAAGCAGGCAAGCGATCTCAGCTTCTGCACGCGGGCAAGCTGTCGTGGACGGAAGTCCAAGGGTCAGCTCTAGTCTCTACTACATTGCAGGGCCCAGTGCGTGCCAGAAGGGCGCAGGCTCCAATGTCTCAAAACCGCCCCGGGCTGGCCCCGGGCCGCCCCGGGCCGCCCAGGCAGGCCCCAGGACATGTCGGGAGGGCCCCCCAGAAGCCCCCAAGACGGCCCCGGAGAGCCCCGGCACGCTTAAAGATGGGCCCAAGACGCCCGAGATTCGCCCCAGGCGGCCCAAGAGGCGTCCAAGACGCCCGAAGAGGCCTCCCAAGAGGCTTCCCAAGAGGGCCCCGAGCGACAGAAATCGTCGATTTCTAGTGTGTTTTTCGATGTTTTCGGCCTCCTCGCCTCGTCGGCTTCCCGACGCTCCAAGACGGCCCAAGAAGTCCCCCCGACCGCTCCAAGACGGCCGAAGAGGACCCCAAGAGAGCCCCAAGACGGGCCAGGAGGGCCCCCAGACGGTCCCAAGACGCCCCAGGACGGCCCCAGGACGGCCCAGGAGGCGCCCAAGACGGCCCAGGAGGCACCCAAGACGGCCCCAGGAGCGGCCCAAGACGGCCCAAGACAGCCCAAGAGGCGCCGAGGCGGGTCTCAGACGGCCCCAAGACGGCCCAAGAGGCACCCAAGACGGCCCGAGAGGGCCCTAAGAGCCCCCCCGGGAGGCCCAAAAGGCTCCGAAACGGCCCCCACGAAGCCTTCAGTGCCTTCAGAATTCCCTCCAGGAGCGGGGGAGCGGACGAGAGGCGACAGGCATATCGCAGGCAAAAACGCCCCAAGAGATCCCCAAACGGCCCCCACGAAGCCCTAAGTGGCCTCAGAATTGCTTCCAGGAGGGGGGGAGCGGACGAGAGGCGACCGGCATATCGAAGGCACAAAAGAACAATGTTGGACGCTCCGAGGGCCTTCGATGTTTCTCCGTTGGGGAGAGTCGTCGTAGGATCGACGATTGCCGACCGAGGGCAGCGAATCCAGTGGAGGCCCAAGAGGCCCCCAGGAGCCCAAAAGAGATCCCCAAGAGGTGCCACGGGGCTTAAAAACTGCTTCGAAGCGAGGGGGGCGGACGAGGGGACCGCCTCAGGAGGTTTTGGACGGTTTTGGGCCTCAAAATCGTCCGCTTTACGACGGTTTTGGAAGGATTTTGGCCTTCTCGCCTTTTCCGCTTTCCGACGCTCGAAGACGGCCCAAGAGGCCTCCAAGAGCGCCCCAGAACGGCCCAAGAGGTTTCCAAGAGCGCCCCAAGACAGCCCAAGAGGGCCCCAAGACGACCCAAGAGACGCTCAAGACGGCCCACGAGGGCCCGAAGACAGGCCCAAGAGGGGGCCAAGAGGGGGACCACGGACCGAAAATCCGAGCCTTCCGCCCCAAGAGGGCGCCAGGAGGCCCAAACAGGCCCCCAAGAGGCCCCAAGGGGCCGCCAAGAATCCCCCGAAGAGGCCCCAGGAGGCTCCCAAGGAGCCCAAACGAGGCCCCTACAGAGGCCCCAACAGCTTCCAAAATGGCCCCGAAGAGGCCTCGAGCCCGCCTCCGAGCTTCCTCGCCGCGAGGGTGCCAACACGGCCCCAGACCGGCCCAGGACGGCCCAAGGCGCGCTCAAGACGGCCCAAGACGATTCCAAGACGGTCCCAGGAGGGTGCGCCCAGGACGGCCCAAGGACGCGCCCGTTCGGGGCCTCAAGACGGGCCAAGATGGCAAGAGAGTCCCAGCTGGCAAAAATCGTTAATTTTCCATTGTTTACTGTTACACCCTTTGCGTTTCCCGCCGTTTCGGCGGTCCGATGCACCAAGAGGCCCCAGAAAGTCCCAGGAGGGTCCGAGGAACCGCCCAGGAAGGCCCCAAGACGGGCCAAGACGGACCCAGCACAACCCAAGGCGCGCTGCGACGGCTCAAGACGGCTCCAAGACAGCCCCAAGAGGGTGCCAACACGGCCCCTGCTGGGCCCAGGACGGCCCAAGGAGGCGCACAGGAGGGGCCCAAGACGACTCCAAGGCGGCCCCCTCACGGTCCAAGACGGCTCCAAGACAGCCCCACGAGGACCCCGATGGGCCCAGGACGGCCTACGGACGCGCCCATGAGGGGCCCACGACGAACCAAGACGGCCCCATCACGGCAACGGCGCCCTCAAGACGGGCCTAGACGGCTCCAAGACGGCCCTTTGAGGGAGCCAACGCGGCCCCACACCCTTCGGGCGCACACTTGGGGGGGCTGGGAGCTTGCGACAAGTCTCCCACATTCATTGTCCTGCCCCATTCTGTTCGCCTGGAGGCCTCCTCCAACCCTGTGGGCGAACAAGAGGAATCCCAGCGGGACGCCAACCCTGGGGCCCGTGGGCCCCGCGCCGCTTGGGCAGAAGACGAACGCCGGGTCTGACAGGCCAGCTACCGCCCCCCTTTGCCCGATATGCTGTGCCATTCTGTTCCCCCAGGGGCCTTGGCAAACTCTTCGGGCCAAGCAGACCGGACCCCTGGGACAGCAGCCAATTGATATGACCCTGGGACCTCTCCGCATTCTTCGGACGAGCATCTGGGGGGCCCAGGAGATTCGGACATGTCTTCCCCATTCCTTGCCCTGTCCCGTTCTGTTCGCCCGAAGGCCTCCACAGACCCTCTGGGCGAACAGAATGGGACATGGCGAACAAACCCTCCCGTTGGCGGTGATGCGACTGGATCGCACCATCAAGGCGCGCCCGGAGGTGATGGCCGACCCAACAGCGGTTTCTCTTAAGAGTTCACTGGATTTCAAATTTTCTTGAAGCTCTCTTGGGCCCTCCCTGTAGATCCTTGCGAGCCTCCCCGGCGCTTTCGGTGGCTTTCCCCGATGGCCTCCCGAGCCCTTCCCCGAGCGCTCCTGAGACGCCTCAGATGGGCTTCGACTTCGACGCACATCCCCGAGAGACTTCGAAACTGTCCTCAATAGGAGGGGGGTGAACGAGCAGTGCGCTGGGCCAAGCTGCTGCAGCGCTGCAAGAGCTCGGACACGAAGGCGCGGTCTCGCTGCCGCCGCCCGAGCCGCCGCCGTGTTTGTAGATTTTCGGTGCAATCTGCGCCGTTCCTCCGAGAACCATTCCAGAAAGATGTCGTGGACGGAGTCCACGGGTCAGCCCTAGTCTGTTACAACGCTGGGATCAGCGCGTGCGAGAAGGGCGGGCAGTGGCAGCCGGCGCTGGCGCTGCTGAGCGAGATGTGGGAGGCGAAGCTGGAGCCCAACGTCATCTGTACTACAATTCCGGGCGAAGCGCGCGCGAGAAGTACAAGCAGTGGCAGCGCCCCGGGCCGCCCAGAGAGCTCGCGGGCCGCCCGGAGAGCCTCCGGGCCGCTGCCCGACGGGCCCGGGAGGCCCCCGGACCGCTCGCGGACTGATCCAGGATTACCAGATCGCTCCAAGACGGCCTCAGGAGGTCCCGAAGACGGTCCAAGACTGTCCAAGAGTGTATCCGAGACGCTTAAGATGGCTTCAAGACGCCTTCAAGACGGCCCGAGACGCCTCCACGAGGCCCCCACAGCGCTCGAAGTGCACCTCCAAGAGGGGCCGCAGAAGCCAAAATCGTTGGTTCTCTTTGTTTTTTTCAGAATGTTTCTGGCCTTCTCGCTTTTTCGGCTTTCCGACGCTCCACGGCCGCCCAAGACGCCACCAAGACCGCGTTCCAAGACGGCCCAAGAGGCCTTCAAGACGGCCCCAAGACGGCCCAAGAGGGCCCCAAGACGGCCCAAGAGTCGCCCAAGACGGCCCAAGTGGGCCCCAAGAAGGCCCCAAGAGAGGCCCAAGACAGGGACCCGGAACCGAAAAATCGAGGCCTCCACCCCAAGAGGCCCCAAGGAAACGCCGGGACGCTCCGAAGACATCCTCAGGAGGCCCCAGGACGCTCCACAGAGGCTCCAAGAGGCCCCCCAGAGGCCGCCAAGCGCCCCAAAAGGCCCCCAAGAGGCCCCAAAAGCAAGGGCCCCCGACGGGCCCCAGCAGACCCCCAAGAGGCTCCCAAGACATTCCAAGAGGCTCCCAAACGGCTCCCAGGAAGCCCTACGAGCCTTCTTGCTTCCATGAGCGAGGTGCTCACGAGAGGCGAGAGGCATCTCTCAGACCCACTCCTCGACAGATGCCGGAGACCTCCTGCTCACAGTCACATTGTCGAGATTGCCCTGGCGTTCTTGTCTGGTCGGGCCTGTGGCTTCGCCTTTCGCAGCCGTGATTATTGAACATGGTCGTCCAAGGGTCTCGCATCCAGTCGTTGCGTCCGCACGCCCTGCATCTCTCCGTCCAGGCTCAGAGGCCTCCGAGTGCGCGCCGGCAACCTCGGAAAATAGAGCGCCCATGCCTCTCTTATTCTCCTTCCCTTTCGCGACAGATTCTCTCCGCACGGGTGTCCTGTTCAGGAGAAAATCGTACGGTCACGGCCATGCTCTTTTGTTCCGAGGCAGCTGCGGATTCCACGCGGTCTCATCGGACGGAGATTGCTAACCAGGGTGTGTGCCGGCGCGCCGCTGGGCGTCCGCGCCGGTCACAAAGCACTCATGCACCCCTTCTGTTCCCATTTCGTGCCAGCCGTTCCGTGGAAGCGTCCCGCCAGCTTCTCACACTTCTTCATCCCCACTTCATCACTTCGGAGGCAGTGCGATCCTCGGACGATCCTCCTGCGGACCATTCGTCCGCCCCGGCCCCCCAGGAAAATAAGGCGCTCCAGGATATCTTGTTTTTCCTTTGCCGCTGCCGTCGGAGCACCTCCAGGAGACAGCTCAAGAGGGCCCCAGGAGACTTCCAGGGGGTCGAAAATAAGTGTTGAGAAGCTCCAGAACGACTTCCAGAGGCCCCAAGCTCACGGCCCAAGAAGCACCGAAGACAGCACCAACAGCGGCCTAAGACGGCCACGTACGGTCCCAAAGCGGCTCCCAGCGCACCATGGGCCTCCGATGCTTGTGTGGCGCTCCCTGCCGGATTTGGCCTACAAATCCCTCGGCCTTTCTGTCGGTCTGGGGCCCTCTCCGCGGCCTTTTGGGGCCATGCCGTGTTTTGCTTTTCTGGTGGCCCAGAATCGCTTCGGCCGGCCCCGGAAGCGCGCGCGGCCGCCCAGGGCGCGTCAGGCTGGATTCTGGGTCGGCGGCGCGGTGGCCCAGAATCGGTCCCGCCGATTCTGGGCGGGCGGCCATCATGGAGCTATCTTGGAGGCGTCTTGGTGATTTTGGGGCCCCTCAGAGGGCCCCCGGACGGCCCCAGAACGCCCCGAGAAGGTTGGACCCAACGCACCGACGAAGCCCGACTCGATCCCAAGGGAGCCCTTGAGCGCCCCAGGTGGGGCGTCCAGACGCTCCTCCGTCTTCTCGCTCAGCGATGTGTGTGGCAGGCGAACATGACGCCAGTCATCCTGATCGCCTTGCGGCAGCACCCCTTCCACCCGCAAGTGGACGTAGTCCACCGGTCAGCCCTAGTCTCTACTACATTGCAGGGCCCAGTGCGTGCCAGAAGGGCGCAGGCCCCAATGCACCGAAACCGCCCCGGGCTGGCCCCGGGCCGCCCCGGGCCGCCCAGGCAGGCTCCAGGACATGTCGAGAGGGCCCCCAGAAGCCCCCAAGACGGCCCCGGAGAGCCCCGGCACGCTTAAAGATGGGCCCAAGACGCCCGAGATTCGCCCCAGACGGCCCAAGAGGCGTCCAAGACGCCCGAAGAGGCCTCCCAAGAGGCCTCCCAAGAGGGCCCCGAGCGACAGAAATCGTAGATTTCTATTGTGTTTTTCGATGTTTTCGGCCTCCTCGCCTCTTCGGCTTCCCGACGCTCCAAGACGGCCCAAGAAGCCCCCCGACCGCTCCAAAACGGCCGAAGAGGACCCCAAGAGAGCCCCAAGACGGGCCAGTAGGGCCCCAAGACGGTCCCAAGACGCCCCAGGACGGCGCCAGGACGGCCCAGGAGGCGCCCAAGACGGCCCAAGAGGCACCCAAGACGGCCCCAGGAGCGGCCCAAGACGGCCCAAGACAGCCCAAGAGGCGCCGAGGCGGGTCTCAGACGGCCCCAAGACGGCCCAAGAGGCACCCAAGACGGCCCGAGAGGGCCCTAAGAGCCCCCCCGGGAGGCCCAAAAGAAGGCCGAAGAGGCTCCGAAACGGCCCCCACGAAGCCTTCAGTGCCTTCAGAATTCCCTCCAGGAGCGGGGGAGCGGACGAGAGGCGACAGGCACGCCGCGCTTGCCCAGAGACCCCTCGCCACGTCGAGCTGATGTCGTGGACGTAGTCCACAGGTCAGCCCTAGTCAGCTACAGCGCTGGGATCAGCGCGTGCGCGAAGGGCTCACGGTGGCAGCGGGCCGTGGCGCTGCTCAGCGAGATTCGGGAGGCGAAGCTGGAGCCCACCATCATGTGTACTACAATTCCTGGCGAAGCGCGTGCGAGTAGTAGAAGCAGTGGCAGCGCCCAGGGCCGCCCAGAGAGCCCGCGGGCCGCCCAGAGAGCCTCCGGGACGCTTCTCGACGGCCCTGGGAGGCCTCTGGAGCGCTCGCCGACGGCTCCAGGACCCCCAGATCGCTCAAAGACACCCAAGCTTGGGCCGAAGCCGACCCGACCAGATCCCTATGACGGCCCCAAAAAAGGTTTCAGAAACGGCCCCCGAGGACCGCGTGGACGGCGCCCAGGGGCAATACTTGTGTTTTTTGTCGGAAGGTTTCGAGGGTTTTCCCGTTCCCGCCATTTCGGGTTTACGACGGCCCAGGATGGCCCCGGGGGCTTCCCAGATCGCCCCTGCGCGGTTCAAGACGGCCCCAGTAGGGCCCCCAGACGGCCCAAGAACGCCGTAGACGGCCCAAGAGGGCCCCAAGACGGCCCAAGAGAGCTTCAAGTGACCCCCAAGTCAGATCCCGCCCGATCGGGCCCAAAGCGACCTCCGACATGGCCCGAGACCCCCAAGATGGCCCCAAGACGCCCCCAGGGCCCTAGATGGTGCCCAAGAGGGCCCAAAACGACTTCCGAGACGGCCCGAGACCCCCAAGATGGCCCCAAGGCCCCAAGAAGCCCCAGACACGGTCTCAGAGGGCCCCAGCCACGGCCTCCGAGCCCCAGGACTCCTCGCCGATTCTGACTTCACCTTCCCATCGATCTTTTCTTCCTTCTGGAAACTCTGACACGCCTGAGGAAGCATCGGGTTTTCGCAAATCGCGCCCGGCCTTGGCGAGATTAGCGAAAACCCTAAGGTTTTTAGCATTGCATCACGCCGACTGCGCTCCCGACCCAGCACCAGAGGCCCCAGCCACGGCCCGAAGGGCTTCCCTCCACTGCGCAATGCCATCCCGCAGGTCTCGGCGACACGTGCGCGTTCGGGACCAACACCTGGACCTGCGGGCCGTGGATTTTCCACGGGTTCACACTCGTCTCTTGCGTGCTAGAAGATCCTCTGTCTTGAAAGACTGGCCGGGCCCTCTGGGCCGCCCTACAAGCCCCCGGGCCGCTCCGAGACGGCTCAGAGACGCCCGCGAGTGCGCCCGGACAGACCAAGAGGGACCCAACCGAGCTCCAGGTCGGCCCCAGAGGCCTCCAAGGCAGGCCAGGAGGCTCCCAAGGCGGCCCAGGAGGACCCCCAGGAGGGACCCAGGAGGCAAACATTGCCCCATTCTCTTCGGAAAACGTACATGTTTGATATGCTCGCTGTTTTCGTCTTGCGTCCAAGACGGCTTTATTGGTCCCCTGCTCGCCCCAAGACGCCCCCAGATCGGGCCGGGCGAAAGGGGGGGATTGGGAAAGGGGGGGTTACGAAATTTGCTGCATGCAGCTGGTTTCGGCCTCACCGAGGGGCCCATTCCTCGATACATAGCCGCCTCCGGCGCCGGGAGGCGCCGGGAAAATCAGCTACGTGAGCTGATTCTCAAACCCCCCCTTTTCTATCCCCCCCTTTCGCCCGACCCGACCAGAGCACCCCAGGAAGGCCCCCAAACGGCCCGAGGCGGCCCCCAGAGGCGCCCCAGACGGCCCAAGACCCAAGGCAACCCCAAGAGCAGTTCGTAATCGCCGACGTGACGGCTCCGAGAGGCTCCAGGGGGCGCCAAGACGGCCTCAGAGCACCCTTGGGAGCCCCAAGACAGCCCCAGGGGCTCCCAAGGCAGGCCAGGAGGCTCCCAAGATGGCCCAGGAGGGCCCCCAGGAGAGCGCCAAGAGGCCAAAGTCGTCCCATCCCCGACGGGAAACGCACATTTTCATCATATCTTCTATATCGGCCCCCCAGCTCGCCCTAAGACGCGCCCAGAGGCCCCAGGAGGGCGCCCAAACGGCCCCCCACACAGCCCCGGAACGGCTCCAGAGGCACCCGAGACGGCCCAAGACGCAACCAAGACAGCTTCAGAGCACCCCCAGCCTCAGAGGCCCCCTGAGGCCAGGAGGCTCCCAAGATGGCTTAGAAGGGGAGCTCCAAGAGGCCAAAATAGTCCCATTCCCGACGGGAAACGCACATGTTCACTATATCTTGTTTTTTCGTCCTCGCAGCGCCCAAGACGGCTACTCAGGCCCCCAGCTCGCCCGAAGACGCGCTCAGAGGCCCCCAGGAGGGCCCCCAAAAAGCCCCACAGACGGCACAAGACGCACGCAAGACAGCCCCAAGAGCAGTTCATAATAGCCCTAGACGGCCCCAGCGCCCCGTCTCCAAGACGGCTGTGCAGGCCCCCACCGCCTCGTCTCCAAGCCTTTCCATCTGCACAGTCTCCCAGACGATTGTACAGGCCCCCAGATCGCCCCACCCAAAACGGTCTGAGACGGCCCCGGGACGGCTCCAGAAGCGCCCGAGACAGCCCAAGAAGCATCCAAGACAGCCTCAAGAGCGCCCAAGATCGGCCCAAGATGGCCCCAAGACGGCCTCAAGATGGTCCGAGAGGCGCCCGAGACGGCCCCACATCGACCAAAGACAGCCCAAGAGGCACTCAAGACGGCCCAAGAGGGCCCCGAGAGACCCCCAGGAGGACGAAAAGAGGCCCCTAAACGGCCCCCAAGAGGTCTTGGATCCTTCTCTCTTGGGGAGCGTCGAACTTCCAGCGTCGTCTGAGGGGCTTCTTGGACCATCTGGGAGCCATCTCTGCGCCTTTGGGGGACGTCTTGGGGCGGTGCGCTCGAAAGGCCGATTCGTGTCCTCGCACTGGGGCCCGACTTAGGGAGTTCGTGGGGCCCTCTGGGGCCGTTGAAGAAGCCTCGTGGCCCGTCCTGGAGACCTTTAGGCCGTCTCGCCGCCCTCTTGTGGGCCTCTTAGGCCGCGCCCACCGGTCCCATTGTCACCACACTACCAGATAAGATGATCATTCGGCCCCGGCGAGGAGCAGATACAATTATCACGGCTACCCTCCCCGCAGAAGCTATGATGAACACATATTGCGGCGTGAGAAACAGCTTCTGTCCACACCATGTCATGCCTGCATGGGTGTGCTTCCACTGACACCGTCTCTACCATCGCGTTCCTGCCTTCAGGCCTGCTTGCCTGCATCCCTCGCCCACCTCCCCCTCCAGCGGCCACCTCCTCCATCCACGCCGTCTCCTCCAACCTCCCCTCGCCTGCGAGGCCCCAGAGACGCTCCACTTCCACGTCCACGCCATGGCGGGCAGATTCCGCGGCCAGAAGGCTGCGGGTCAGCCCTAGTCAGCTACAGCGCTGGGATCGACGCGTGCGAGAAGGGCAAGCAGTGGCAGATGGCCTTGTGGCTGCTGGAAGAGGCGACTGCGGTGAAGTTGCAACCAGGCGCATTCGCCTACAGCTGTGCGATTGTCGCTCTGCTGGGTGGAAACGATGCCATAAAGTAGTCAGCGTCAACGCTGGGATCACCGCGTGCACGAGTGCGTGCAACGGTAGTCTTCCCTGGCGCTGCTTGGCGAGTTGCGGGTGCGAAGCTGGAGCCTGA